ATATATATATATATATATATATAAGGATAAGGATAATGGATTGATATTTTCTTCCTTTTTCCAATCTCCACAGCCTCACCTCCTTTTTCTTCCATTTTCTATTTTTTTTTTCAATCTTGCTTCTACACATGTTTGGTCTATTGCATAAGTGTATGGTGATGATAAATGACAAGTGGGTTGATTATAGGGTAATAAGTGGCCACAAATTCTAGATTTACAAAAGAAGTCTCTCATTTTCCAAATAATATAACCTAATCCCCCTACCTTTCATTATTAGCAAAGTGTATCCCAAATTTAAATTTGTATCTAACCTACATATTCAAATATTGTAGATTATAAAATAAATCTCAACAAAATAATTTAATCATTTGGTCAATTGAAGTCCTAACAAGATAATCCACTTCATTCAAATTCAAACTTGACTTGAATTCCGACTACTAATAATCATTTAATGTATACACAACATTTAGCACTTCATGTTTGCATTCATTAGCTACCTCTAGCATTAACCACTACAAAGGTGGTGCCCCCTTTTTCTTATGGCCAAAAATATTATTGAAAACTAAATTGCTATCCTAAAAAAAAAAAAATTTAAACGAGCATAAAATTTCGGAGTATTACATCAATATTACCATGAAAATAATACCCCTTAAGCATGGAAAGTATCTTACCGTAAAACTTGAAGAAACTTCGATTGAGATATGAATTGAAAGTGCTATCCTTTTTCTTCCATTTTTTTTTCAATCTTGCTTTTACACATGTTTGGTCTATTGCATAAGTGTATGGTGATGATAAATGACAAGTGGGTTGATTATAGGGTAATAAGTGACCACAAATTCTAGATTTACAAAGGAAGTCTCTCATTTTTCAAATAATATAACCTAATCCCCCTACCTTTCATTATTAGCAAAGTGTATCCCAAATTTAAATTTGTATCTAACCTACATATTCGACAAGTCCGAAGGGTATCGACAAGCCGGAAGGTGCAAGTATGTGTTTGATTGCATTCTTTTGTGTAGTATTATCATGATAAAATTCAAGCATGGTATCTTACTGAGTATTCCTTATACTCATAGTATTTTATACTAAATTTTCAGATCCATGATCGTTGGATTGATGGAAGTTAGTTGGCAAAAGCGATGATGGGTTAAGGACAAAGATGTTTTGCATCGAAAGTTTCATTTTGTATGTTTTGTTCGATGACTGCTTTCCATCTGTTTTTCTTATAGTATTATATAAAAACATGTATATGACATGATGTAATATGGTATTAAAAGTAAAGTTTGTAATCATATCTTTCATGTTGTGTTAAGAGACATCTTTTAGAAAATTTCTCCTTGCAAGTGATAAAAGGCAAAAACAGGACAGTTTCGGGGTCAACTTCAAAGCGATGTTTCTAACTCTATAAACATCCATTCGAGACTCTAAAAATATTTCTGTGTTCCTCTTTGAATTTTCTAAATATGGCCGCAGGATTTACTCAATTTGGATAATTGTGGCCTGAGATATAAATTTTTAAACGTCAAGGGGTCAATCAGGATTTCCTGTGTAACATTTCACTGTTTTCAGTAAAACGTCCATATCATATGATCTTGGAAAATTTTCATATTTTAACCTAGAAAACTACATGAAATTATCTTTCTAATGCCGCAAATTTCATGTAAAACGGAGTTGGGATGAATTTTATAAAAATTGTCAAACTTGCTGCCCCAACTAACCTTGGTAGTCTCGAGTCCGTATATGTAAAGTATAATTTCTTGTCGACGGGCACTTCTACTGGCTATTGAATTTTATAAGAATTATTTTACCAAATTGAAAATAAGTTTCCAACATGTAATACTTCTATTTAAGGGTATTTACATGTACCAAAGACTGAAGTTATTATATTTAGTACGTGACCCTCGAAGCTTAAGTTCGGGGCGTCACAGTAGCGACCTTTAAATTTAGCTCCTTCGCAAGATTGGGGGTTGAGCACGCTTGTCGTGTGCCTACACCATACAGGTCAAATACCTGCAGATTGAAAGAAGTCACATTAAGGTTAAGATGTTATCCAAAACAATAGCACGATTCACATTAATCTTAAAGTAAATGAACTCGATATATGGTTGTAGACATAGATAAACATTTTTGGGCGCAGAAGACTACTGCTTCAAATAGATAGTAAATGACCTGTATATAACCGGTAATAGGGTTGGGCATCGTCCGATTCGGTTCTGTTCTAACGAGAACCGAATCGATCCCGAAATTTTCGGGTATTTAGTAAGTAGAACCGTCGAGTCCAAATTTAATTATGGAACCGTTCGGATTTGGTTCCATTCGGTTCAGTTCGATTTTCAGATTCTGTACTATAATTAATTTTTTTAATATTTACAAAGCATGTTCAATCTTAGCTCTTACAAAATAACGTAGTCCAATCTTGTATGTCTTTTATGTTTATCTTTGTTGAGCTCTTCATAATTTTGATTGTTAAAATCACAAGAAGAGGAAGATAGCAAGCTCATAATAATTAAGAGAGACGTTATCGAGTTTCAATTCGATATCTCCAGAATGGTAGAAACGACATTATAGTAAAATAAGAGATTTGATAAAACTTGGGTCAATTTAATTTAAGTTGGACTTGGACTGAAAATTAGAGATAGGAAAATCATATTTTTGGGTTGAGCTAAAAAAACTAGTTAGCAAATTTATTTAGAAAAAATAAAATAATTTGGCTTATTTAAAATAAATAAATTTAAAAAATTAGGAAAATTCGGTTCTTATTCGGTTATTCAATTATTGATCTAGAATCAAGAACCAAATTGAACCCCTCAATTCTCGATTCGGATGCCCGTTTGGGTATTTAATTTAATAAGAACCGCTCGGTTCGGGTACAGTTCGGTTCGAAAGTTTTGCCCAACCCTAACCGGTAAAGTGGAGGTAACTGGATAACAATGAAGTTAAATTGCGAAGAGCAGATCAAGATACACAAGTACTAGTACATAACGAGCATAAAACAACTGGATAAACTCCAGCAAACTAATCTATTCTAGCAAAGGTCTTTTGGACACCAGCAATACTACGAGGTATCCAATGTAAAGGATTAGCTAGGACATTCAATGACTTGCTCTATCGCCGTGACTTCCCAAATTTGAGATGTTCGAATTCTTACCATTAGTAATGCAATAGACTCATGGCGTAATTGCCACTAAATTTCTACATATATTTTCTTAATATAAACAATATATTATATTTGGAAGCTTCAATTGTTTCCAATAAAACATGGACAAAAAAAAAGTAACATAGAAGTTAAATTGAAAGACAGCCTGACAAAACATAAAACAACTTTCTCACAGTAACAGAAGAAACTTTACCAAATATTAGAATTCAAGTAGTCTAATATGTATATCACTTCATAAGCCAACCTAGTAAAGTGATCTAGAAATCAATTCTCTACCAGCAAATTAGTGCATGCCACAACCTTAAAAGAATGGAACCCTTCTACAGTTTTCATTACTACTGGGCTCCTATAAACAACAAATTGAGAACACAATAAAGTATATTTTCCCCCTATGATGTGTATATGTAACAAAAAATTGAGCCTTGTTTTATGTTCCCAATAAATTTGGTGTTGCTTTCATTTGTTGATGTCTAATTGTATCTGCCCCAGCCATGCACCAGGAAAAAATAAATGAGGAAAAATAAAGACGGAAAAACTTACAGGGATAGGAATTCTTCGGTCATGGAAAGCAACATCTGATGCAAGGTATACATCACCTATGCAAGCACCTTTTGCCTGGTAAAATCTAGCTATCAATATAAGATATGCATCAAAAGAGTGATTAAACACTCTCTGTAGTAAGTGTGACTTCGTTATCCTATATTTAAGATATGACTGAAACATCTATATCAGCAAGGTAATAGATTCCATCTAGTACAAGTCGAAGGAAGCCAGAACCTAAAAATGTGCGTAAAATGTCATCACACAAAGAAATAAATCAAATTCTTTACTGAAAACGTGACATTGACTTTTTATGAAAGAAGTTTTAACATTTTGGTGTCCATATAAATACAGAATCAGTCAGACAACAAACAACAGAGGGAAATAGAAAGTACAAGTAAAAATAGAAAAAGAAAAAGAAAATATCTAAAGAAATTGGTTAAAAGAATAAGAAAGGAAGGAACCAGGGCAAATTTTACATATATGAAAAAACACTATCAGCAGCAGAATCGATAAATGCCACATGGAAAAAGGAGGATGGAAATATAAACAATTATGATAAGGTTCAGAAGATCAACACATCTAAAAAATAAAAAATAAAAAATGAAAGCCATCATATCCGCATTCGTAATACCTTGAAACCTCCAGCAGTGCCTGCATTTATGATAAGGTCTGGTTGCAATGCTTGAATAGAAGCATAAGTTATAAGTGATGCAGAAACTGTGCCTACGCTGTCAACACCTGATAAAGAAACAATTAAGAACACAGCGGTCGGAAATTCACTGTGGTGACTAACCAACAATGGCAACAAATAACAACAAAGCTCCTTAAACTGCATAATGCATCACAATATTCATAATCCAGTTACAGAACTTAATGTGACTGCATACCTTCTTCCTCTACTAAAAATAACATATACTCAAGAATGATCAACCACTTTCATAGTGATTCCTCCGATACCAATCCCCCTACCCACCCCCACCCCTGGATGAAAAAATATTGAATGGCCCAAGGATAAGATTTATTGATCGCTCTTAACTACATGGTACTTAATTTTATTTAGTTTCGGAGAAAATATGTTCAAATCTTTTCAAAGAATCTTATCATCACAATAGGGCCAAAACGACAAAATATCTAGAAATAAGCAGATTAGGCTTAATAGTGAACACATATACCAGAGACTGAAAACAATTCACGTAACAAAATCAAAATCCATAACATGCCATCAAGAATTAAGGAGGAAAGAGAGAGAGAGACCCAAAACTATGTCTTTTCCAGGGGAAACAATGTTGATATTCAGATCTTTATATTTTCCACTGTACCTCACCCACGGGACCCCCTTTGGAAACCTGCATCATTTTCACAAAATGATAATAGATAAAACAAACCATAAAAGGGTAACGGCCACTTGTAGAATGGCAACAATATAACAAAACACATTCTTTTCCAATTAATTTATTTTAAATCCAACAATGACTGAGCATAAATAAACGAGTCGTTATTAAATTCCACTTATCACTACAGTAGGCTTAAACTTTCCAAAGATCACCAGTACAAATTGTACGAGACAGTCAGTCTCCTTTACTTTTTCCCAATCCTCATTTTTCTCAGTTTTTTTTTTTTTTTTGGTCGGATCTCAATTGAACTAAATTACTTATAAAGCTTAAATAAAAAAAAGAAGGCCCACAGAGAATTGGATTCTTCGGTGAGCTGGAACTTCTCCACTAGAGGTGAAGCCTCCTTCTTCATAGCTATTCACCATTCACACACACACACAAAGAAGTTAGCATATAAATACATACTAACAAACACAAAAAAATCTCAAAATATATATAGAAAAATGGAGTACCAATAATGAAAACGACATCGGAGATTGGGCGTTGAGGTACAGATTCCTCTTTGACTTCAGCTGCTTTGCCATCTTGAGGAGGCGCCATTAATAGTGGAATTACGTTTACTTTCCCGTCAATTTCCGATAACAACCGGATTTTTTTTAACTATTAGTCTCAAAATGAGCTTCTCCGTATTCCTGTGAGTTTCAATTTGAAGTCCTCTTCTCTGAAAAATATATCGTACGCATTTGTAACACGTTTATTTGAAGTAGGAAGGTTCAATTCAAACTGTAGTTAATTGGAGCGAATGAACCGCAGCAGAGATGTACAAGATGAAGCGTGCGTGAGGACTCTCTTTTTAGTCAAAAAACTTGGTGTGACCAAATGAGAAGTCCAGCTCAAATATAATAATGTTGCCCCCCAAATTCTGTTCGACCATGGGCCAATAGAGCTTTGCCAGTTCTACTTTCACTTATATAGTCTTTGCATAATAGGATATTCTAGAAGATAGGAAACGATCGTTTACATTTCATCAATTAGGTGAAACCATAGAAATTAGATATGGAAAGACAATTTGACAAAGTTATTTAAATTTTACCTTTAAAAGATAATGAGCAAATGCATATAGAATTGCGACGTACTGATAGATAAATATAATGTCACTTGTCTTATACTTTTCAAATGTTATGTTGCCATCAAATCTCGTATTTTTGATCTGTTATCATAAATTACTAGAACGACAGATCTTTAAGATCTCCCAAGCAACAAGTTGCCTCAATTGGACTGGTTGAGTCATACAATCCTTTCATTAGAAGCTCGCCTCTTCGAGGATGTTTTTGCACCGAAAGGGGTCCATGGTAGCTTATGACTTCAGGAAGCCTTGAAGCCAATTCTAGGTTCATCAAGGCTATCCAAAGCATTGCAGATGAGGTGACCCTCAGGGGTCCTCGAGGTGAGGTTAATGTCATGACTTTGACATTTTTTGCCATGTGGGCATGTGGTCCCACGCACCTGCTTTGATTTCACTTGAGGTGAAGAGTAACAATATTCTCTCAAATTCGAGTCTAATATTTACGCTAGTTTAAGTAAATTCGAAGATAACTATTAGGCCTTCACGAGCCTCTATTAAGAGGCAACTTTATTGGCTAACCTGTGCTTTGTCTACCTCAGCTCCACTTGAGATGAAGGCATATTAAATAACAATATTAATAACAACATACTAAAATTTCCCAGTTTATCTTATGAACAGAAAGCAACCTAGTAGCCAAAGTTGCAACTATTTGCATAGGTAAAGATTTATACTTGATAGGTTGAGATAACCCGGGTTAATACTCTAAATATATACTTGATTGGAAGATCGTATGTACAAGGCCAAGCTAAATTGTAATCGACACAAAGAAGAAGGCCAGATATGAGTTTTTGAAACTACACTGAAGTCTCATTTCTATACTAAATTTAAGGCAAATTTTAAGCGACTCTGGTGGATTGGAAAAGGCTTCGGTCTCATCCACTTTGGTACGAAAAATATTATATATCGAGGTCGAAAAAATACGTGGTAAGTCAAATAGACCACAATTAGAAGAACAAACTGGCTATGTGAAGGCTTTGTGCTGGGGCTACCATTTGGCAGCTCTGGGAAGTTGTCTGGAAGTGACATTTGACAATTTTCACCATTGAAATATATTCCTCTAGGAAAAGCCCATTCATTTCTGAGTGAAGAGCTCTAACTCCTTCGTTCGTGCGCCATACCCATGGCTCACTCACTGAGGGGTTCTTGGCTCACTCTTTGAGCTGGTTCGAATTACAGACTCATTATCTAACTCTAAGTACCAGAGAAAAAGAAAAAAAGAGCTCTAACTCCGTCGTTCGTGCGCCATACCCATGTTCTCCCCCTAAGTCTACCTCGGGGAAGGATGCTCGTACATGGGTATGGCACATGAACGACGGAGTTAGAGCTCTTTTTTCTTTTTCTCTGGTACTTAGAGTTTGATAATGAGTTTGTAATTCGAACGATGTACGAACATCCTCCCGCCCGAGGGGGACTTAGGGGACCAATGTTCCTTTCCTCCGTCCCACCATTCCAAAACGATCTTGAATCTTTTTGCAAAAGTATCTTTGTAGTCACTGATCCCAATTGATTCTCACCAAGTTGCACAAGTTCAGAGTTGTACAAAAAAACCCTTAGAAGAGAGCAACTTCTTCTACATAAAGTATGATCGTGTAATTAGTATAGAATCTTTATCGGTGACCTCAATGAAACTCAAGTATGATTTTGCCGAGGTGTACTCGAAGTTGGAAGAACTTTATTGTTGAAGGCATAAGCAGTGGTAGGCTGGCTGAATTCGGGATGTTGAACCAAAACGTTCCAATCTAAATAGTTTTTCCAGTTGTTGTAATTAGAGATCGTCAGTTTTACTTTCCAATGATCTATGTAATTTTTCTTAATATGCCAGTGAACCCGAAGTGGACACATAAGATCTGTGCATTGAACTACATCAGCATCCATGTTCCTGATCATCAGGAATCTTTAGTTAGGATCAATAAACAAATATACTAATAGAGAAGTCATTATGCTCGAGCAAAATGTTGGATTATTTCTTTCAATCGTTAGTACAAAATTTACCATTTTGAACATCGAATATAACAGACCTTCAAAATTAATCAAGTGGCATGTAATTGTTACTGCAGCCAAACTAGGCACACATTCAATTGGATGGTTAATCTTTGACTTCTCATACATTCCTATATGCATTTTAGTAAGGAGTATTAGATTGCACTAGTATAATAAACAAGATTTTTCCATCTTATTCTTCTTTACTGCTGTCGAATGCTGTTTAATCCATCTTACGAAACATGAGTTGAACTCAATGATAAAGTACTTACTAAAAACTTGCTCGTCTTCTGCCTCCAATCACTGACAAAACTGTGGGATCAATGTCTATAAGTGGGCCAAAAATATAACCAGGTCCCTGGGCCATTAGAGCAAGATTTAGAGGCTCGTACCCAGTAGACTTCTGCTCCAAATTGCCAACTGTAACCTCAAAGGATGAGTATAACATCAAAGGTTTAATAGGCCAAGGAGCAAGGACACCACCATTGCAGTAGCCATCGATACTATTGATAAGTGCAATGGTCGCACTTATTTAGACCACATTATTAAATGTTTTTGTCGTGAAATTATTGAACTTTATTTAATTTTAGTTAATTTTTGTTTGTTTCAGTGTTTGACCCGTTTGGAAGCAATTGGAAGAGGATGAAGATTGAATTAGTTGTCGGATGAAAAATGTGGGAATCAAATTCTACACTTTGAAAAATTAAGGATTGAATTGTATGATTTTAAAATAATTGAGGAGTTGCAAAAAAAAAAGATATAAATGGGCCTTGACTTTTACTTGGGCTAGAATTCAATTGCAATTGCAATGCATACTTGAATTAACAAATCAAGTGGATGGCCAATTGGACATGAGAGCTTGGCAAAAAATGGGGCTGAATTTGGAATCCAAAAATCACAAAAAGAAGGGCTATATCTATACTGGAGACAAATATATACACATGACCTAGCAAAAAGAGGGCTGGCTGCTGGAGACAAGTGGGCAGCTGTGAATTAGATTTTATATACATATAAATTGGTTCCCGACAGAAGGAAATTGAAGAAGCAGAATTATTACACACGCATATAGGCGGCAATTGAATTTGGGCAGCAGCTTCAAGGATAAATTGCAATCAAACACTACGGCAAATATGAAGACGGCAACCGCAAGAAAGACACGGATTATTGGATTATAATTGGAGTTAAACACGTCCGTCAATTTTCAGTGATGTCCTCACTTTTATTTGTTTGATTCCAATAATATGTTAGGCTAATTCGTTTCATGTATTGGATGATGACAAAATTGTTTAATTTTTAGTTTTAATTCGAGACCAATATTTTTATGTTAATTATTGCGTTGTGATTCCATTAGTGTGCCTATTCACATTGTTTTAATGTTTGCGCACTATTAGGACAATAAGTTTCTTATTCGTAGTGTTGGAAAACTCATGATAGGTAGAACACTATTATTGGGACACACGGGCAATAAATATTAGGAATAATATTTTTGGCGTGTGCGTCTTATGTGATAATCCTAAATGTCAATGTATGTTCGTCATATGAATTCGGACTATGAACAAGATCATCTCGTGGTAATCATAGGTTTATTATATTTTGAGAAAGAATAATAAATAAAAAACGGAATTATCGATCGTCACAATTGCATAAATTAAGATAATCATTACTAGTTGAGAATTAAAACTAATAATTAATCAATGGCGTCAGAAATGCAATATGTTCGCATACTTGATTTTTAAATCAACTTTCATTATTTTCACAAGTTTTAGTTCTAAAAATTAGTTAGATATTTATTCGATCATCTTTTGGTTACAAACACAAATTTAAAAATATCAAATATACTAAAATTGATCATTATTCCATGTGGGATGATAATTCTCTCATCACGATTATTACTTGGACAACGAACCTGTACGCTTGCGAGTATTTGACGAACAAGTTTTTGGTGTCGTTGTCGGGGAATAACGATGTTAATTTTAGTTATTAGATATTTTAGATTCGTTTTTTTTATTTTTTATTTTATTTTTAGTTGTTGTTTTTAGGCTACCTTACACTTTTTAGACGGCTTTAGTTTATGGAAAATCTTGACGAGGCAGATCTCTTTCCGATAAACCACGAAATTGAAAGAACATTTAGAAATCGCAAAAGAGTTCAACGTCAAGCAAAGAGAATGACTGATAACCAAAATCAACCACAAAATCAAGTTCAGCTTCACGAGCTAGTACCGCAGCCAAATCAACCGAGAGCTATCCAGAACGAAGCTCCTGTCTTAGTTGGAGATTATGTCAATCCAATTCCCGCACTAGTGCAATTTGCTGTAGTATATCCTTCCTTCGAACAACCTAATTTTCACCTCAAACCAGATGTCATCAATTTGTTTCAAAATCACCAAGATATCAGGTTCTTTGGAAAAGCCACGGAAAATCCACATGAGCATATTTCTGTTTTTCTTATTTTATGTTAAATGATCAGTCACGAAAGGATATCGGCAGATGCATTCTGAATGAGATTATTCCCTTATACCTTGAAAGACGCTGCTAGAGAATGGTTCCTCTGTTTACCACCAGGGAGCATTCAATCTTGGAACAATATGGTTCAAAAATTCACGATGAAATTCTTCCCACCTTCTCGAGTTCACCAAATTAGGAATGACATTCACACATTCAAGCAGAAAGATTTAGAGAGCTATCTTGAGGCATGGGAGAGGTTCAAGAATTTTTTCAGATAATGCCTCAGCCTTGACATTCCCAAGCAGGCTCAGCAA